AATCATAATGATGATCGGCTTCATTTCCAGCAAGATGGAGCACCTCCTCACTATGTTGCTCCGGTAAGAGAGTTTTTAGATGACCGGCTTCCTGGACGGTGGATTGGAAGGAGAGGCCCCATCGAATGGCCTGCCAGGTCACCTGATTTATCGTCTTTAGAAATAAATGTTTTGCTACGCAGCCCGAGTCCATAGAAGATATTCGCCAACGAATTACAGCAGAGTGCAGCAGTATAAAACCTGATATGCTACAGAATGTAAGGAATAGATTTGAACAAAATCTGTAGTATTGTATGGAAGCAAATGGGTCACATTTTCAGCACTTGCTGAAGTAGGATTCTACTAAGTCAATTACACATTTCAAAGTACTGTGTTGTAGTTATTTTTCTTCATGGTACCTACATGTTTAAGTGGAATACAACAAGTTAGGTATCATTGGAAAGAGAATTTTTTGCCCTTTCAAATGATATATCACTCGACCCCACTTTCCATTTAAAATTTTAGGGTTGTTACTCACCCTCGCTAGGGGGTTGAAGGCACAGGTAGAAAAATACATCTAAAATGTGTCCCCCTCAAAAGCAAAATTGACCTGTCCGAGCATTTTTGGGTTAAGTTACAAAAAAAAAGGGAAAAGCAAGGTGCATACTTTTCGTTGGACCACTCTGTATAGTGGTAGTATTGAGAGAATTCCAAACTCGTAAAAACATTTTTAAAATTCTGACAATCATTCTCACAATTGTTCTCGGGCTACAGGCAAGTTTCGAAAGAAAACCAAGAGTAATTTCATTCCGGAAAAAGACGAATTCGAAAGATAAGTTCCCATTTTCATGTTAATTACATTAGCCGCCAGAAACGCATTTTTTCACTTCTGGCGACAACTGTCGCATCGTAACGCGTACTTGACAATGCTGATTTATTTTTAAATGGGGACGTGCTCTGGATGTTTTGACAATGACTAAACCGTTTTTAGTCAGGGAGCAGTCACATTTTTCCTCCTGTTAGTTGGTTCATTCAATATGACAAATGACTGATACTTGATGAGAATCCATGACGTATTCAAGAAACACTTCATTATGAAATTTTCACTGGACAGTTTACAAAACTGTAACACATGTTCTACTATACAATAGTTTCCTCAGTGAGCATCTCACAATTGAGTTTGATTTGAAATTGGTACATGCAAGTCAAAATTTTGCGACTATCAAAACAGTTGAACTATTATCAACTGCATTCGATCAACAAAATTTCAGCAGAACATACCTACCCTACTCGAAAAGAGATATACAGAGTGGTCCATTGCAAAGTATGCACCTTGCTTTTCTCCTTTTTTTGTAACTTAACGCAAAAATGCTCGGACAGGTCAATTTTGCTTTTGAGGGGGACACATTTCAAATGTATTTTTCTACCTGTGCCTTCAACCCCCTAGCGAGGGTGAGTAACAACCCTAAAATTTTAAATGGAAAGTGGGG